TTCTGATTCCGAACTTTCTTTCTCAAATCCCAGACCCAAAAATGGAACACCCCACTGCTTCTTCCTTTCTCTTTTTGCCTTCTTCTGTGTGATAGGATGCTAAGGGTGTTTTAGTCTTTGGCATTAGCAATTAATTGACTATATTGGGAGTTTAGTTAGTATTGTAAAGGAGGTTGAGTTGTATTGTGTTCGTTAGTAATAAAGATAGTTCTCTATGTACATTTGGGTTAAGGTCGAACGTGGTTCTAACATTGGTATCAGACCAGTGGACCTCAAGCCCCATTCGTTGTGGCCAGAGGTTCTTGATCCATGTGACGCGACCGACGACGCCGAAATTTCCGATGGTCCCCAACCTTTGTTCGCGGTGATTCGCTATTGCCTCACAGCGATGTTGACGACATTCCGGGTGGGCTTCTTGTTTCTGAGGGTGCATTCGTGCCACCTGAAACTCCACAGCCTCTGCATGATGTGATTGACCAGAAAGGTGAAGGTTCTGTGGTAATTGAAGTGGGTCTTGCTGGGATTCACAAGTGTATGTCATCTATTGCTCATATGGGTCTATTGTCTGATGCTCCACCAGATCAATGGGCGAAATAAGTTGCTGAAATTCCAGTGCAAAGTCTTGTCTCTGTCTATGGAGATTCATTCAAGATTGAAGCACTTGGTGTTTTTGCTCCATTTGTGGCACATCAGTCCAGAGGACGACATGCTCTCTACCCGTTTGTTGAAATGCAACACTCAGGTGCGTTATGCCATGGTAATGCAATTCTTGGTTTTGATCTTAGCTACTATATGGGCATTCGCGACAAAGGTGGTGGATTCGAAGTTCTGTAGAACGATCTTCGCCACCAGGGAAATATCAAGAATTGTTTAGTTGTCATTTTCCTTGATTCTGGTAGTTTGCATAATTTCATTGATTTGGCACTGGTCAAAGGGTTAAGTTGGCCTATTGCTCATATTCATCAGTTTGATTTCCTGCGGTCTAATTTCCTGCTTGCCAATGGTGGAATGGTGCTTACTCATGGTTGTTCTCAAGTTCGTTTTAGGGTCCACGATTATGGTTGTGTAGATGATTTTGAGTTGTCCTCTCATATGGGAATTCGTGACAAAGGGGGGAAGGCGTCATAGGTTGGATTGGGAGGTCAAAATTAAGGAGGCTCAGGTATAAGATTACTCCACTTTATTGTTTTCTTTGTATGCTTACATCGGGCTCTGACCAAGCCATAGTAGATGTGGCTAGTTTTGTTTGTGATCTTACCGTGTCCTTCAAGATCAAGCACGCCAAGGTGAATATGTTCTCAGCAAGTTGGGTAACATTCTGCATCTGATAGTGATGACCAAACTTTTATTCAATTGGAATATGTCAGATTCTGCACATTTGGTTGCCAAGGTTGCCACGCTCAATCATCCAGTAACGATGCCAAAGTTGGGTTTTCAAGTGCTGACACAAAGGTTATTACTTTGGAAGTCTTCATCCATATTTTTTACAGGGATGCAACATCTAAGTTTCCTACTTTGGATGTAGAAAGATCATGCTTTCCATGTTATTTCTTGGCAATGTTCTTTCTTGGCCATGTTTCTTATGGCATTTCACCAATATGGCAATGGTTTTACTGGCCAGAGAGTAGGGCTACCAAGGAACAACCACCTCTCTCAAAAAATTCATTTCATTCAGTCCTTGTGGCAATAGTTTTATGGTTTTGCTGCTCTTGGATTCTTTATCTCAGCTGCACTTGGATGCTTCATTCCATCTGTATAAGGCATTTTCTGGTCCCTTTCAAGCTCTTGCTAGGCCCATTGACTTGGCTGAAGTTTCTAGGCCTCATCAGGTTGCATCAATGTTTCGTTTCTCATCTCCTGACTAGCCATCTTCCAGCAGCTGCTAATACATATGGTTTTCAAATTTCTATCCTTGAGGACAAAGATTATTTTTGTGGGGAGGGTAATGATAGGATGCTAAGGGTGTTTTAGTCTTTTGCGTTAGCAATTAATTGACTATTTTAGGAGTTTAGTTAGTATTGTAAAGGAGGTTGAATTGTATTGTGTTTGTTAGTAATAAAGATAGTTCTCTCTGTACATTTGGGTTAAGGTCGAACCGGGGTTCTAACATTGTGAGACCCACTCCGACGCCAACGCCCTAACCTCCACCACAGTCAAACCTACCACAGCCTCCATCCACCATCCCTCCACCTAATAACTCAGCATTTTTACACAATATGAATTCAACATCTCCAAAGACAGAGCACAAGTATCACTGTCAAATAGAACACAATTAAACCCAATCACTCAACCAACCAATCGAACCCAAACAAGAATAAGGAGAGAGGAGAAAGAAGAAGAGATAGAGGAGCCATGGAAGAGAGAGAGGCAAGAAAAAAAAAAAAAGAAAAAAAAAGGGGTGCGGCGGCTGCAAATGGATAGAAAAAAGAAAAAAGAAAAGAAGATGTGTTAGTGGGAAATTGAGAAATTAAATAAAGAAAAGAAAGAGGGATAGATAAGTGGGAGATGAAACATTTTCTTTTTTTTACTTTTACTTTTAATTATTTAGCTCTTTACTTTTGTTTTTTAATTTCTGATTAAAAAAGGTTTTTAATTTTAATATATCATATATACTAGCCTCTCTGCACGCGTTTGCGAGAGGCTTTTTTTATTTTTTTATTTATAAATTAAATTTATTTTAGAATTAAAAAAAGATAATGAGTAGCCGTGTTTCATAAAAATAGGATCCCTTATTTGATTTTTCTTTTAATTTTAATTTTTTTAATATGAAAAAGTGTGAATTTACCATATTATCCCCATTTAATTAATAATTTCAATTTTTAATGTTTGCATTAACCATGGGTATGTTCTGGTATTTGAATGTTTCACCATTCTCTGTCTTTTGCTTTATATATATAGATAAAAGACAGAATGTGTGCAAGGAAGCTTAAGTCGGACCTTTGAATTCTTTTCTTTTTTTTTCATTATTGTGCTAATTTTGACATACATGGATTTAGAATCTCTTCATCCAAATGAAGACTTACAAGAGGGCGTACATATAACACATCTAAAGTGGTGGAAATATGAATGGGAGGTTGAGTTGTGTACATGATGGAGATTTTAAAAATAACATAATGGATTAAAAGTTTACAAAAGGAACTAATACTATTTGTTCATTCATTCAATATCTTAATATGTTAGTCTTGCTCTATACAATTGGAATGCTATAATTGTCAAGCTCCAATGAATATATTTATATTATATGTGGTGTTTCATGTAATTAAAATTTAAATGAAAATAGTTTAAAATTTTAAAATACATACATACATAAAATACAAAATGGAATAGTATGATACTTCCCTACATTTACCACATATGTAGTACGTTTTGATATAACACGCACACATATGCATTTTTTGTTATATTCAAACAAGCACATTTGCCAAAAATATACTCTTAAAGTTATAAACTATTATGTTTAACATATTTTTTTGGCAAGGCCTATTTTAGTATATATGAATATTTGTATGTGACCTAAGAAATGAAACATATATAACACCTATACACTAAAAATAATGCAATTATCATAAGAAATTTGAAATTTTCTAGAAAACTTTGGAAAAATCGGATTGGAATGGGTTCGGTAAACTTTGGAATTTTTTCGGATCGGAATTGCGGAATTTTCGACATTTATCGGAAATATCGGATTCGGGATTTTCGGATATCCGATTTATCAGAGTTGGATTTTCTTTGAAAATATTCGGACCGAAATTGGTCGGAATCGGATTTTCCAATCCAACTTACACCCTTAATTTCTTAAAAAGGAAACTTGAAAACAAGAAGGTGGTTTGTATGTGCTGCCTCCCCAATTGGATCTTCATTGGAGCTCTCTCACGGCTCAATCATTCTTTACTTCATGAATTCACACGTACGATTTGTCCCATCCAAATTTCATTGACAGATCTTATAACTTGACTTGGATTTATTTCACTTCCTCAAAGAAGATCACGGGTTTCAATAAAATTTTGGAAGTCATATGGAGAGAGGGAGAGTATAAGGGGAGAGGAAAAATAGTAGGAGAGG